CGAATCATCCTTGGAAGGAATCGGTGTTTTTAGTGAAAATTGGTGGTCTATCAAATCTAATGTAGTGACGGGGGCGATCCTGTACGTATTCACAGACTGCAGACTTCCCGGAGCGTCAGTTTTTCGCATCAGCTATGTGTTCTTTAACGCGGGTTTTTATGGATTTTTTGTTTGTCCTATATAAGAGAAACCACATAAATAATCAAGCTTGTACACTCCTGCATCTTGCAGAGGAATATTGCACTTGACTGATGGTAAAAATTGACTAATCATCTTCGGCGGCTAGAAGTATGTTTTGATGGAAGCACGCTTTTAGATGTAGCCAATCTTGTCAGTGACACCGCTGACATATGGTAGTATAGCAGGCATTCGCTCGACTGTGGCCGGCTTCACTCGTTCACTGTGACGTAGGCGCGGGACCCGAAGCTTATTGTCGTGCAAAACTTGCTTGACGCGTTGGAGCTCGGCGGCCAGGTGTTTACTGTCACAGATCCCTTGTGCTCTCTGAAACAAAGATTTACTCACGGTAGCTAACTGTGAAGGATGGTGGTGAGAATCATCGTTTAAATATCTATCTGTATGAGTCTTTTTTCTATACACAGTGTGGCTCTTGAGCCACACTGTGTATATTTGCTACTGCACTGCACTGATAACACCTTGGTGTTATTAGGATTCTGAATTACTAACACCTCTAGAAAAGCTAAAGAATTGTTTGCCTTTAACTCCACTGTGAACTGGATTTTAGATTTTAAGGAGTTAAGATAGTCTAAAAATGCAGTTACTTTATCTTAAGGTAGAATTGTGAAAGTGTCGTCTACGTACCGCTTGTAGAATCTTGGGTTTACGGGAGAAGTAAGCAGGGCTTTCTCCTCAAAGTCCTCTATGAATATATCGGCGACAATGGGAGATACAGGTGAGCCCATCGCCACTCCATCTACTTGCTTGTAAAACTCCTCCTTCCACAATAGGTAGCCAGATGTAAGGAAGTGTCTGAGTAATACTGCATATTCCACGGGCATATTGTTCTCCTCTAGCCTTCTAGTAACAATCGAGATGCAATCTTCAACAGTTCAGCATATGAACAGAGACTGCACATAAAAACTGACCATAGTTTCATTGTCTGCCAGATGTAGATCTTTAATCTCGCTGACAAAATGGTAGGAATCCTTTGTGTGTGCTCTTGTATGTCCCTTGAGCGGTGAGAGTATATTCGCTAAGTGTTGAGCCAATCTGTAAGTTGGTGAATCGTTTTGGCTCGCTACGGGACGTAGTGGAGCATTGGACTTGTGTATTTTTGGTAACCCATGCAACTTCGGTGGTTTGGCACATGTAGATATTATCGATTTTATGTCTAGATTTAATTTTTCAGAGTGTTTCTTTATGAGATCACTAGTTCTTTTAAGTGTGTTATTTGTTTGGTCATTTTTAACCTTTTTATAAGTATTTGCATCCGACCAAAGTTCTTGTATTTTAGAATTATAATCCGACGTATCCATGACTACCGTGGCATTTTCCTTATCTGCGCGAAGAATCGTGAGATCTGATTTATTGTGTAGGTTATTCAATGCTTTAAATTCGTTTTAAGGTAGATTCGGTTTTGGCGCTGAACTTCGACCTAACATAGACGAAATGTCTTACCGTATCGCTTCCAAATCTTCCTTTCGCATATTGTTTTTAAATGAACAGTCCTCGACACTACAGATAATTTATTCGTACGGTCATTTCTTCGGTGTTATAGCAAAATTAAGGCCTTTCGATAATACTCCAATAGTTGCATCATCTAGAGTTTGTTTTGACAGATTTTAGACTGCGCTTAATCTATGATCCGCGTTCGTAGTCAACGGTTGCGTTTCGTTCTCACGTTGACACATATGTTTGACATTTAATTTGGTCGTAAATTTTTTGATATTTTTGCGTTGTTAACTTTTGCGTTGGCGTCGATTATATTTTTAAGATGCGTAGCATTCCATTCTTCTTGATGTGAAAATGGTTAATTAAGGAAATAAATATAATAAAAATATATGGTATTATATAAACTTAGTATGAAAGTCAAAAGTTAATGTTAAAGTTACAGCCTATATACGTCCCACTGCTGGACACAGGTCGCCTCTTATTTCTGAGACGGTTTAAGGGCAAGGAAATTTACACCGTGCTGCCTTAATGCGTGTTAGTGAACTTTACATGTTTTCGAATTTTTTTTTCTTATTTATTTATTTTATTTATTTAATAAGGCTTACCAACTAAATACATATAGAAACAATTATTATGAGGTGCACTTAAAAAAATTTGTATATATGCATTTAAATTAAAGGTAAACACAACTTATAATAAAAGACTTCCTTTAAGGAGAACAGTAACCTATAAAACTATCACTACAATAAAATAACAAAATTAAAGCAAACAAAAAAAACCTAACTTATATAATGTATAAATGGAAAAAAGAGAGGAAGTAAAAAAAAACTTTTAAAATGAAAAAATTATTTAGCTGTGTAATGTGTTAGTACCTTCCTCTTTAAAACATTTAAGCTATCAAAATGGATATCCACATCACAATTTTGAAATTTTGAATTGAATGCATTCAACAAAGATGATAAAGGTGTGTTTCTGCCATATTCATTACGACTTTTTTTAATATGAAACGGTTTGTAGTTATGTAGACGTGCACTAATTCTTGGAACAGTGATACCGATATCAAGTAAGATAGACCGACAGTCAATTTTAAAACTTAAGAGCTTGTGCAGGAAAGTTATACTTAATACATCCTTACGCCTTTCTAAAGGTATCATATGGTAATGCTCAAGTCTTTTCTTATAGCTATTAAAAGTGTGATAAGTCCCTTCGATGTAACTGAGTCTAGCTAACATTATTTTTTGTACCTTTTCTATACGTTGTATATTATTTTGATAACTAGGATACCAAACAAAGGAACAGTAGTCTATATTGCTACAGATCAACGCGAAATAGAGGGCCTTTAAAGCTGGTATGGACTTAAATTCTGTAGTGTTACGTGAGATGAATGCTATTAATCTATTACACTTATTTATTGTGATATCAATATGACGTGTGAATCTCATTTCGGAATCAATGTTTAGGCCTAAATCTTTAACATATTTTACTTGATTAAGACGAGTATCTGCAATATAGTAATTAGTCTCGAATTTTTTATATTTCCTTGAAAATTTTATGTGGTGACATTTTTTTACATTGAGTTCCATCTTATTACATTCACACCATTTACAAAGATCGTTAATATCCCTCTGTAATAGTAACTGGTCCTCTGTGCACTTAACGGTTCTAAAAAATTTCAGATCATCGGTGTATAATACAAACTGACTGTTATTTAATACATGTTTTATGTCATCTATAAACAAACAAAATAAAATTGGACCCAGGACTGAACCCTGAGGAACTCCAGAAGTAGCTTGAAATATGTGAGATACAAAACCGTTTACAACAACCCTCATTACTCTATTTTCTAAATAGGACTCAAACCATCTCAAAAGACATCCATCAATAAAAAAAACGTTTTTAAGTTTAGCCAGTAATATTTTATGGTCCACTTTGTCAAAGGCCTTGCTAAAGTCTGTGTAAACGGCATCAACCTCATTGCCATTACTTAGTTCGGTTAAAACCTTTTCAACAAAGAACATTAAGTTGGTTGTTGTGGATCGCTTCGCAAAGAAACCATGTTGATAGTCACTCAGAAGTTGTTTTACGTGCCACTTTAAATGGTTACTAACAAGGGATTCAAATATTTTTGACAAAGTGGAAAGTATGCTGATGGGTCGATAATTACAGATAACATTGATACTTTTGGATTTATGGATTGGTAAAACGATAGCCTCTTTCCATACGTTTGGAAAAATGCCTTCCGAGATAGATCGGTTATAAATTAAATGTAGTGGTGTCGACAATATTTTAGCACATTTTTTTATGAATATTGGAGGTAATCCATCAAAACCGGCTCCTTTATTGGTATTAAGCCTAGCAAGTTTAACTTCAATATCCTTTTTAGGTATTTGTATATAATTCAGATTAAGAGAATTTGTCACACTGTCGTTAACTCTCGAGTGAGCCCTATCTTGGACTTTGGAGGGTTTGTTATAAACAGATTCAAAGTGCTCAGCAAATAAGTTAGCAATACCACTACCGTCATTAGCACCTTTGTTCCCCAGTTCCATTTCCTTAGGGATCGAGTCATTATTATTACGTTTATTCTTTATGTAAGACCAAAAATGTTTCGGATTATTTAAAATATTTCTTTGCACATTATTTATATATTTGCTGTAACTCTTATTAATTAGCGTGTTTGCTCTTTTTTTTAACAACTCATATTCATATACGTCACGATTGTTTTGATATTTTTTCATTTTTTTGCGGCTAATTTCCTTTTCCTTTAAAAGTTTTATAAGTCTCTGTGAGTACCATACAGGATATTTATTTTTAACAGATGGTTTTAAGGGTACATATTTCTCGATATTTTTTCGAATTATGGTATAGAATTTTTCTAAGCATTCATTAATTGAGCGGCAGCTATTTAACTCACTATCCCATTTTACTTCATATAGAGACCTATTTATACCTTCATAATCTGCTTTATAAAACTTATACACATTGAAATTATTGTATCGAAGTTTATCTATTTTTTTATAATATATGTCAATTTCTAACGGCGGGTGAAAGTTATCAATCTTCGATAAAGTATCTACAGCTTTACTGACCGAGATAGGATATTCAACGTTAGATAAAACCAAATCAAGTATTTTAGAGTCATTATTTTGTACCTGATTATACTGTTTGAAACCGTTACATGAAGTAAAATCTATAAATATCTGATTTATTTTTGTGTTAGATTTAATTATTGGATTGCTATGATCTGAGGTCCAATCAATATTACCCAAATTAAAATCACCAACTAGAAGAATATGATCAATTTTTTGTACAAATATACTTTTAGTGCTGATGCAGTGGTTTAGATCATCACTTGAGACTGGTGAAAATTAACTGAGATTTTCCAGTGCTTCCAATCTTGTTATTACCCGTGCTGGTGATGTCTCATTTTTGCGCACAAAAATTTTCCCATTACGCACCCAAACAAATTTGTATTGTTTCTCTTTTGCTCTCAATCTGGTAGCTGCGTGTAACGCCTTGTTGGATGGAGTCAGATGTTCGTTAATGAATACTGGTGATTCAATGTCTCCATAACCCAGGATTTTCGTGTTTAATTTATTTTTTGGGTTCATTTTATTGTATGTAAGTACAGCGCCTAAGAAGTTGTCTCGCTTTATTTTACTTGTTAGTTTACATACAACAGTCCTTGGCAGCTTGGATGAGGCATTAAGCTTTTGCACTCGGTTGCAGGATAAAATATCAGCTTCCAAAATGGGAAATGAAATAACTTTTCCGATATTAACAATTGTGTTAACCAGGTTTTCTTGTCTGTGCTCAGGTAAGCAGTGGATTTCGACATTTGACTGACGGGCAGACTGTTCCATTTGTGATAACCTTTCCTCTAAATCACTGACCTTGCCAGTTAACATTGCATTAGTTGTAGAAAAGATCTTGGTATCATCAGATAGGACTTTAACTTTGGTACTTATAGCATCATATTGTGAATTAATAAATTTAATCGTTTCTTCAAATGCATGAATTTCTTTTTTGATATTAGCGAACTCCTCATTTAATGTATCTCGTATCACTGAACGCAATTCCCTACGAATAATTTCTGCTAGTTCAGCACGAGATACACAGTCTTGGTGTTCAGTAGTGGGTTCGCTCTCTTTTTGACGCCTTATAGTAATATTTTGAGAGTCGTCTAAAAATTCGCTGCTGGTCGCCAATTTAATAGGAGTATCATCACTATTTCCTTCCTTACGTATTATTGACAAGTGTTTAATGGAGCAGTCAGGACATTTCCAATATTTTTGCTTTTTGAAATTATCAACATTCAAATTAACACACAGGTAATGATATCTTTTGCCGCACGAAGATTGAGTGCAAGTAATTCTTTCTGAAGGTTTGATTGCTTTTTTACAACCGCTGCAAGGTGAGTTCATATTTGAAATAATAAACTTGTCAGAAATTATTCACAAAAAGTGTAGGTGTTTGTCTGGATTCGATCTTCCGATTCTTGAATGCGCTTCACGTTTAAACAGAAAGTGGCCGCTTATACCACTGCGCTACTAAGCCACTAGCAGCAAGCATGAATTTTTGGAAGTGTTTCGAGTATTCTTAGTTATAACTATCGTACTTTGACCTTTCCTTTGTTTGTCAAGAATAGCTCTAACACCGCAAACTACGTAAACACAATGTTTGCAATAAATATTGCCAAAATACACCAATTATTCCACGATAAAAGATAACACTAATACAACTGTTTGGTCCAGTAGGTTCTGACCGATATTTACGTCTAAATTTCACTTCACAAACTTTATTTGTTGCACTGTTATTGAATTTATACGAGGAGCATAAGTAAACGTGTCCGTTTGGTACTGTTCTCGTGGGTATTCTAGCATAAGTAAACGTGTCCGTTTGGTACTGTTCTCGCGGGTATTCTTGCATGTCTTATGTCTCAGACATGCAGGTTTCTTCACGATGTTTTGCTTTCCCGCCGAGCACGTGGTAAATCAGCACTTAACTTGCAATTAACTATTTCATTGGCGCCGGCGGAGAACGAACCCGGGTTGCTCGCTTAGTGTGAAACTTACAGCGAACGCTAACCATCAGAGCTACCATGGCTCTTAGGGTTAGGACATTAAAGGTTAGGAGATGTGCACCATTTGAATATTAAGGTATACATCGTAGCATTTTCGCGTTAAACTTTATTATCGATTATATTCTTTACTCCTGAGGACTAAGATAGAATGCCTTGTTTCCAGTAAAACGGATGTCCAGTTCTCTACACTCAACATAAGAAACACAGCAGTATTACGCCGCTATTTTACGCTGTTGTATTCTGTGAGAGCGTGACCAGGGGGTCACTTGGTCACGAGCTGATTCATTCGTTCTACAACCATGGGCTGACCACTTCGTGCAACAACAATGATATATGTAGCTGCAAGGTGGCTCTACCACGAAAAATTTAATGTATAACTTCCCTCGGGAAGGCCTATGTTCTGCGGTGAACTTGTGACGGGATGTTATGATGATGATGTAGAATTGTCGTCTCTGAGAAGAAAATAATTTTTCAAGCAAAGCCGCAGTAAGGGCATCTGTCGGTTGTCACTTAAAACAGTAACCGACAGATGGCATTGTCGTGGAGATCGGAAGCACCATCTAGAACATGAAGATTAGATCGTTTGAACCCTAACTATGGTTGCCATACGTCCGTAATTTTTCGAACATGGCCGGAAATTTAACCCTGTCCTGTACCAGGGGCATATTTCATAGGCGGTATTCATAGACCACACAGATCATGGAATATCTACGCTGCTGTGCCGCCGGCTATCCGGCTTCGTTGTGGGAGGTGCGGCAGTGTAGCCATTCCCATACACTCAGACTGGTTTTTCTTTACAATCTTCTTATTGGTGCCACTGACTGCCCTTAATTACTTTCCCTAGTTGGTATAAGAATCCCTAGACCATTGACGCAGCTGCACCCATTATTAGTGCCAAAATAAGGAACAATTATGACTATGAGACTATAAGAAATATACTTTTTAAAAAGGTAAACATATATATAGATATTTTTTCAGACAGTGTTAGTCAGTTTTAAATGAATATTGAAAAGAATATTTAGTAACTTGATAAAAACATTCATACTAAATGCTAAAGATAATTAAGAAAAATATTTTATATAACATCATTTTATAGTTTTACTTTTAACATGGGTTTTTAGGGGCTAAAAAACGGAATCCTTATGGATTCGTCATGTCAGTCTGTCTGTCTGTCCGTCCGTATGTCACAGCTACTTTTTTCCGAAACTATATGAACTACGCTGTTGAAACTTGGTAAGTAGATGTATTCTGTGGACCGCATTAAGATTTTCACACAAAAATAAAAAAAAACTATTTAATTTTGGGGGTTGCCCATATTTAGAACTGAAACTCAAAAATTTTTTCATCAAACCCACACGATGGATAGGTCTTGAAAAATGATATTAAGGTTTCTAATATCGTTTTTTTTTAAACTGAATAGTTTGCGCGAGAGACACTTCCAAAGTGGTAAAATGTGTGTCCTCCCCCCTGTAACTTCTAAAATAAGAGAATTATAAAAGAAAAAAAATATATGATGTACATTACCGTGTAAACTTCCACTGAAAATTGGTTTGCACGAGATCTATCGTAAACCGCAATAGAAACAGAAACAGAAACTTTTTTATTCAATATAGATTATAAATAATACTTATTGAAAGTAACTCTTTTGTATAATTACCACTGGTTCGAAAAAAAACCTCTGTCCTGGGAAGAACCAGAAAGAAACCCAGCGGGACTTTTTTTTAAATAACAGCATACAATCTTGTATGTTACACAAATTAACAACACATCAAATTAGAAATAGCTTGGTAGCGATCACCTCATTTCCAGGGGTTATTATCATCTATAAATTCATTAATATTATAATAACCCTTTTTATACAAACTTAGTTTAATAAAGTTTTTGAACTTTGAGCAGGTCAAATTTTGTATATTTTCTGGAATTTTGTTGTAAAAGCGTATACATCGCCCCAAGAATGAATTACTGACTCGATGGAGTCGAGTAACTGGTACTACTACCTTGTGTCTGTTCCTAGTATTTACAGAATGAGTATCACTTATTTTTATAATTTATAGAATCAGGTGTTACTTTGCGGAAATCCATTATATAAAAGCTTTTAGAAAAATTTACTTCGCAAATATCCGCGTTATAAAATAAAATGATGTGTCTTACCTAGTATCAAGAGCACCTCCCGCCCTCCCTCAATTGCGTGCACTATCTCCGTCACCACTAATCCCAGCACCGCTACTCCCAACACCACTACACTAGGCAAGACACACCACTGACGATAATACGACACGTGTTTCGCCTATACACGAGGCATCCTCAGGTGATATAGATTCTACGATGGCTAACCGCTAAGTGAGCGGCGAGCCAAAAAAAGTGCCTTTTATACAGACCGTTGACGCAACCGCTATCTACTTAAAGAGCGAGCGACTGCGTCATGCGATAAAACATGCGACCAATCACCGACGGACTTACGCAGCCGTTTGTAAAATTAAAAACAAACCGCCGCGCAACGCCCACCCTCCAACCAGGCAACCAATCGCTGATCACCGTGTGGGTGACAAACGACCATATTGCGAGGCTCTCTATTATTAGAGAGCAGGCGTAAAGATATTTAAGAGAGGTGAGTTAGTAACATTTGTTTGTTCATTCAGCAATGCAACTGTACTATTGTTACTTTTTAATATCTCTAACTGTTCCAGCACACACAGCCGCAGCCCTTTATTACACGTATGTAAGACTTTAAAGGAGTGGTCGTTGGCTGGGTTGTGTCCAGTGTCTAATAGATGTTTGGCAAAATGTGATTTATCGGGATTGCAATTCCTGTACGCGGCTAAATGTGGTCACAATTTCGAGACACGTTATAAGGAGTATAACGTGTCTCGAAATTGCGACCAGTCTGACCCACGTAAATGGCGTGGCATTCGTCACAAACAAGTTTGTAAACACCTGACTTTTGACGAATATCCAACTTATCTTTATTATTACAGATATTTCTAAGAGAATTGTTTGTTTTGAATGCCACATAAACGCCGTTTTGTCGAAGAGTATTAGCTATTTTTTCAGATATGGGGCCTAAGTAGGTCAAAACTGCTCACATATCGATGAACATGCTTTTGTTTCTTTTTCATTAAATTGTTTATGAGATTTTTTGAAAAACCGTTAGAGACCGCTATTTGATAAATTATATTAAGTTCTTTTAAATAATTTTCTTTACTTAATGGGACAGTGAACATAAATAGGTCTAAAATTGGGGGGGTCTAATGTACTACCAGATTTAAATAAAGGAATTACTTTACTATACTTCATTAAATCAGGAAACACACCAGATTCGATAGTATTAAAAATAATAGCTAAATGAGGCGCGATTGTATCTATTATAGACGCAATAACTTCAACGGAAATCCCCCACAGGTCCGCAGTTTTCTTAACGTCAATAGTTTTAAAATATTTTATAATATCTTTTGATGATACTTTATGAAATGCAAAATTCTTTGTACACGTATATACATTTTGTTTAAGTAATGATTCGGCGATCGCAGGAGAAGAATTCAGGGACTTAGTGGTTATTATTGGAATATCAGTAAAATATTTCTCAAAAACCATTGTAACGTCCTGATCTGATTCGGTTAATTTGTTACTAACACTTAACTGGTAATTTGAATTGCGAGAGTTGATCTTACCAGTTTCGGTATTAATTATACTCCATGTCATTTTAATTTTATTAGAAGCCATCTTAATTTTGTTGCTCAAATGCAAAGACTTGGCTGTGGAGCACACTCTTTTAAATATTTTTGAATATTTTTTACATATTCCCTAAATGCGACGCTATGATTATATGACCTTTCATGGTCAAGATCATATAACCTATGTCTGCTCTTATGGACTCCTACTGTCGCCCATTCATTAAATGACTTCCGACTGTTCAAGGAGAATGTTTTAGAAGTAAAAATATTATTAAATTCATTGCAAATAAGCTTAAATAATGTTCCATACAAAAAATTTGGATCATTTTGGTATGAAAAGTGATGGAAGTTTTTTCACTATGTTACTTCTAAATTTCTTCAAGCGACGTGCATTTACTGGAACAAACACAACTTTCTCATCTACTTGCTTTTTGTGAACATAAGGTAACGAAACTACCTGTCCACAGTGATCAGAACTTAATTTTTGAATTATACATTTATGCAACGGCTTCACATTTGTAAAAATGTTATCTATACATGTTGCACTAGATTGAGCAATACGCGTTGGCTCTAAAAATAAATTAAAAAGACCATATGGTTTAAACAATGATCTTAATTTAATATTGATTGAGGAAGCCTTTCCTTTCATTTCATTCAATAAACGCAAATA